GAGTCCCGGGATCGAGTCCCGCATCGGGCTCCCTGCTCAGCAAGGAACCTGCTTCTCCCTCTAACCCTCCCCCCTCTCATGTACTCTCTCTCTCATTCTCGCTCTCTCAAATAAATAAATAAATCTTTAAAAAAAAAAAAATTAAACAGCAGTCTTGGTGCCTAAGGACTTAATACTTCAGTAACATCTATGAAGCAATAAAAAATTAAAGAACATTCTGTCATTGTTAAATATACAGGTATAATATTTTGAACACAATATTACATTAACAGTGAATAATTAAAACAAGGGACTTGCCTAAGGCTTTTTTTAATGATTTGGAAAAAGACTATAGATACTATCCCAGTAGCTTCCTTCCCTACCATTCTGAAGAATTATTCATCTATACCACATAGTAAACTTTCACGGAGTTTCTTTTGCTATGAAATGAATAATCTTTAGATATATTTGACATACATTTGGAAATTTTGAATTTTTAAGTTTATGTGTGTTTTTTTTTTAATAGTGCTTAAGAAAAGATGCAGAATCTCGTAGAAGAGAACTTCATATCCGAACATATGCAGTTATTCCCCTGAATGATGAATGTGGGATTATTGAATGGGTTAACAACACTGCTGGCTTGAGACCTATTCTGACCAAACTATACAAGGAAAAGGGTACTAAAATTAATTCTTAAAATATAAATATATAATATGACTATAAAATCTGCCAATATGTATAATTAATATTAACATATGTTATTATACCTTTTTTTTATAAGCCATAGTAGAATTTCTAGGTCAAATGAGATTCTGTATACACAAGTACTTATGTGTTTTTCTTCCTAATGTTCTAATCCCTTCTTTATCCTAATTATATCTTTATCCCAAAAGAATTTGATGTAGCTTATAAGAATGTATATGAAAATTTGTTTTTCACAAAGATATTGGTTAGCAATTTTGAAACTACTTCATGTGTATACTTACCTTTAGCAAATAAATATCTATATGTGGATAATGAGAGCTACCTTTTTCACTGTGAGAGAAAGAAAAGGAAAGGGAAGCCTAAAATAGAGTATTAGATTGGAATTAGAGTCTCCACCTGGCCAGACCTGGGATAATTTGGGCAACAAAATAATGATATAGTATTAGGTTATAACTCATGGAATAAAATAAATAGATATGAATCCACACTGATATAAATAAATAATAAATAAGTAGGGATGTAGGAACAGTTCTTCCTTACAATAGAATTGCAATGAATAAATGTAGAGAAAATGATGGAAATAGAAAACCAATTAGCAAGTACCGCAGTAATAATTGTTGCAGGCAGTGAATATCAATGGATCCTGAAATGAATGAGCAAAAGTATGATGAGAAGCAGGTAATTTGTAGGGTCTCAAAGTATCTCCTCACAACATACTTATTGATTATAAAGGGAAAAAAATAGTAACTTTACAGTGGAGAAACAAAAATATAACTGGTTAGAACTCTTAAAAAATGTCAAGGTAATGAAAGACAAAGACAGAAATTTCCCAGATTTGAGGACATTAAGGAGACATGACAGCTGAATGTAATATGGGATCCTGGATTGGATCCTGGCCCAGAAAAAAAGACAGTAGTGGGACAGTTGGTGAAATTTGAATAAGGTCTGAAGGTTAGTTAATAATATTGTAACTATCAATTTCCTAATTTAGGTAATTGTGCTATTATTATAAAAGACACGAACATTAAGAATAGCTGGGTGAAGAGTATATGGGAATTTTTTGTGTCATTTATGCGATTCTTTGTAAGTCTAAAGCTGTTTCAAAATAAAAAAATTTTTAATGCATATGATGCAGTACATTAAAAGTAAATAGATCAAGTTATCAGAATAAGGTAGAAAATAAGTATATTCGTTTCCCTAGGGCTGCTGTAACAAAGTACTGCAAACAACAGATGTATTCTCTCACAATTGGGGAGGCTATGAGTCCAAAATCTTGGTGTCAGTAGGGCCAGATCTCTGATAACTCAAGGGGAGAATCTCTTCCATGCCTTTCTGTCAGCTTCTGTCTCCAGCAATCTTTGACGTGCCTTAGTTTTATAGATAGATCACTTCACTCTTTCTCCTTTCTGTCATCACACAGTGTTCTCCCTAAGTCTATATGTCTCTGTTTTCTCTTCCTATATAATATTTTATGTACTAGTCATATTATAATAAGGGCCCACCCTAATGACTTCCTCTTAACCTGATTACATGGGCAACAGCCCTCTCTTTCAAGGTCGCATTCACAGGTACCAGGGGTTAGGACTTAAACACATTTTTTTGAGGGTACAGTTTAACCCATAACAATAAGTGGTATTGATAAATTACTATATTACTGTGCTAAATATGTTATATACTTTATTGTTTATTGTTAATAAGTCTGATTATCCCTATTTTATGTACAGTGCCAGAGGTTAAGTAACTTATCCAAGTTCACAAAGCTGATAAGTTGCAGAGCTGAAACTCAAAGACTGGACTCTTATTCCAAGGAACCTGCTATTGACTATTTTATTGGAAAGATAAAATATTGTGTGTTTTAGTTATTGTTTTTGGATTTTTAAAAGTATTTAAAAATTTTTAATATCATGAACACACGGAAATTATATAACATTTGAGCCTAAAAACCTCAAATCTCAAACTTGTTCATAAAACTTTTGGCTGTGCTTCGGGTGTAAAAAAGCACCAAACCAAGGTGGGCCTAAAAGGCACTTAATAGACCAGAGTAATATCACCCATCTAATACACGCTCACCATTGTATCAGAAGGAAAAGTTCTGTTTCTCCAGATGATTTGCATTGTACAAGATTAGCTCAAGAACGAGGTACACAATGAAGCTTATAGGCTAGCATTCACACAGAGTAAATTACTTCAAAACACCACTGTAGGTTTTTTAATAACGATTCTGTGTGGACCTATACTACATGCTGAGGAACAGAGAAATCATTATAATTTTAGTGAGGGCTGCAGCATTTTTATAATTCCAATTATTTTATTTAATTTATTTAATTTATTAATCCAATTTAAATTGGATTTATTCTGAGTGATACTTTCTAGAATTAGTTGATTCCAACAACATTAGTTTTAGTTGACATTAATTTTCATCAACAGGAGGCTTCACTTTGGATAAGTATAGAGAAACAATGTGTTATTTTATTATAATAAGATAAGTTTACCTATTTGTTCTTGCTTTTGTATAACAATTTGAATAAAAATAGATGTTTTTTTAAAAATTACCCATTTTTTTATTTGGCTTGTGTGGTTAATGGAAACCACTCCACCTTGCAGGAGTTTATATGACAGGAAAAGAACTTCGCCAGTGTATGTTACCAAAAGCCGCAGCTTTGTCTGAAAAACTCAAAGTATTCCGAGAATTTCTCCTACCCAGGCATCCTCCTGTTTTTCACGAGTGGTTTCTGAGGACATTCCCTGATCCTACATCATGGTAAGTTACCAAGAGGATAATACATTGTTATGGTTTAATGTTTTAAAAAATATTTTAGATTTATGTTGCCTCATGTGGCATAAGGATATTTGATAAGCATTGTGTTTTCTTTAGGTACAGTAGCAGATCAGCATACTGTCGTTCCACAGCGGTTATGTCAATGGTTGGCTATATCCTGGGGCTTGGAGACCGTCATGGTGAAAACATTCTCTTTGATTCTTTGACTGGTGAATGTGTACATGTGGATTTCAACTGTCTCTTCAATAAGGTAAATGATGTGACTTACTCTAGTAATTGTATGTTTACTCCCAATTACCTTTCCTCAACGGCTGTTTTTCCTAGACATACCCATTGGTTGCAGTTATAGTCACAGTTGGGTCACACTGAGAGTTTGTTGACTGGTTTTGATTGGTGGATCCCTGAGTCCTCAGCAAAGCAACTTAGGATGAAGAGAACTCAGAAGAGTGATACAGTAAAATCAGCCCTGAACTTGAAATCCAAAGGTTCAAGTTCTGACTCAGTTCTTAGTTATGTGAACATGAACCGATCAGTTCATTTTACTGAGACTCAGTTTTAGACAGAACAGACCTGGCAGCATATCAGAATCATCTAAGAATTTAAACAAAATACACAGATATCTAGCAGACATCCTAGGAGATTCTATAGGTTCAGAGTGGGGCCTGGGAATAAATTAAGGTGGTTGGACTCTCCCTAAAGCCCCGTCTAATTTTCCAATGTTATGATCCTAGAAGGCAGACAAGTAGGCTAACTCCCTATTTTCTTAATCCCCATTCTCTGTGGATTACCTTCTGCTGTCACAGGAAACCAAGAAGGGTCACAGATACACATGAGATCAAATCAGAAATAAACCACTAGTATATGTTAAATCATACAAGAAAGGAATTTAGGGAAACTCAGTAAGTTTGGGGATAAAAAGGCCTTATGGAAGGCAGGTTGAGAATGGCAGAAAATAAATGAAGTGGACTTCATTATATTATATGTTAACATATTCTGTCTGAGGGATATGAGCATCTAACATTTGACTGTTTCTTTCCTTTCCTGCTTTAAAGTGAAAGTCTTAAAAAAGAAAAATATAAGAATATTTGTTTTTATTTTATATTATTCAAGAAGAGCAGTAAGAAAGTTAATATGAGACTAAATGTTGAACGCATAAAAATTTCTCTATAGTAATATTCACTATTGTAATTCAGTGCCTGGTGAGCATCCATCCTCTAGATCAGAGGTAGTTATATGGCTTCTTCATGATAGAGGCCTTTAATGTAGTTAAAAATATAAATATTTTGAGGGTATCTTTGCACTTTTAGACTCTAGACATGAAGATCTAATTTTTTTGCATAAAGATTTAAAATTTTAACATTGTGACTTTTTAATAAAATGCATTGTTTTAAGGGAGAAACCTTTGAAGTTCCAGAAATTGTTCCATTTCGACTGACTCATAATATGGTTAATGGAATGGGTCCTATGGGAACAGAAGGTCTTTTTCGAAGGGCTTGTGAAGTTACAATGAGGCTGATGCGAGATCAGAGAGAGCCTTTAATGAGGTAATTACCTATGTTTTGTAAACAATTTGACAGTAATCTTGAATGTAATTATTGGTTCCTAAATATGTTTTTTTATACTAGAAGCCACTTTGCATTAAGGTAGATCTTTTTAAATAATAGCTTTATTAAGGAATAACTTACAGTTCATTGCAGCATTATTTACAGTAGCAAGACACAGAAGCAACCTGAGTGTCCATTGATAGATGAATACACACACACTGTGATAATATTCAGCCATAAAAAAGAAGGAAATTTTGCCATTTGCAACAACATAGATAGACCTTGAGGGCATTTATTCATAAGTGAAATAAGTCCTACAGAGAAAGACAAATACCGTGTGAGATCACTTGTATGTGGAGTCTTAAAAAAATAGAACTACCTTATGATCTGATCTGGCAATCGCATTACTGGGTATTTACCAAAAGAATAAAAGAACACGGGGCGCCTGGGTGGCTCAGTCGTTAAGCGTCTGCCTTCGGCTCAGGTCATGATCCCAGGGTACTGGGATCGAGCCCCGCATCGGGCTCCCTGCTCTGCGGCAAGCCTGCTTCTCCCTCTCCCACTCCCCCTGCTTGTGTTCCCTCTCTCGCTGTGTCTCTCTCTGTCAAATAAATAAATAAAATCTTTAAAAAAAAAAAAAAGAATAAAAGAACACTAATCCAAAGGGATACATGCACCCTGATGTTTATAGCAGCATTATTTACAATAGCCAAGATATGGAAGCAGCCCAGGTGTCCGTTGACAGATGAATGGATAAAGAAGATGTGGTATATATACACAATGGAATATTATTTATCCATAAAAATGAAATTTTGCCATTTGCAATGACATGGATGGAGCTAGAAGAGTATAATGCTAAGTGAAATAAGTCAGTCAGAGAAAGAAAAATACCATATGACTTCAGTCATATGTAGAATTTAAGAAACAAACAAGGGAAGGGAAAAAAATAAGAGACAAAACAAGAAACAGACTCTTATTATAGAGAGCAATCTGATGGTTACCAAAGGGGAGGGTTGGGGGGGATGGGTTAAATAGGTGATGGGGATTAGGGAGTACAGTTGTCATGATGTGCACAAGGTGATGTATGGAACTGTTGAATCACTATATTGTACACCTGAAACTAATCTAACACTGTATATTAAGTAACTGGAATTAAAATAAAAACTTAACAAAACCTGAGCAAATAGATACAGAAAGCAGTGGTGGCCAGAGGTTGGGGGTAGGGATGGGCAAAATGGATGAAGGTACAAACTTTCAGCTATGAAATAAGTCATGGGAATATTAACTATGGTACAGACTTTCAGCTATGAAATAAATAAGTCATGGGAATATTAACTATGGTGAACATAGTTAATAATACTGTATTGTATATTTGAAAGTTAAGAGAATAGATATTAAAAGTTCTCATCACAAGAAAAAAATTTGAAACTTTGGTGATGGATATTAACTAGATTGTGGTGATCCTTCTGCAATATATATACAAATATCAAATCATGTACTCCTAAAACTAATATATGTCCATTATGTCTCAGTTTTTTAAAAGATGTAATTTACATACGATAAAATTCACTCTTTCAGAGTGTGCATTTCAGTTGTTTTTAGTGTATTCCCAAGATTGTGCAGCCATCACTGCTAATTATAAAACATTTCATCACTCCCAAAATAAATTAGCAGTCACTCTCCATCCCTACTCCCCTGCCATCTTCTAGCAACCACTAATGTACTTTCTGTCTTAATGGATCAGCCTATTCTGGGCATTTCATGTATAAATAAAATCGTACAACATATGGCATTTTATGTCTGTCTTCTTTCCCTTAACGTGATATTTTCAGGGTTTATCCATGTTATAGCATATATCAGTAATTCATTCTTTTTTATTGCCTAATAATATTCCATTGTATACCACATTTTGGGTTTGTTTGTTTAAGATTTTATTTATTCATTTGAGACAGAGAGATAGAGAAAGCAGGGGGGAGGCAGAGGGAAAGGGATAAGCAGGCTCCACACTGAGCCAGGAGCCCAATGTGGGGCTCGATCCCAGGACCCTGGGATCATGACCTGAGCCAAAGGCAGACACTTAACCATCTGAGCCACCCAGGCACCCCTGTATACCACATTTTCTTTGTCCATTCATCAGTTAATGGACATTTGGATTGTTTACATCTTTTGGCTACTGTGAAAAGTCTGTGTATATATGTTTTCAGTTTTCTTGGGTATACCTGGGTGTAGAATAGCTGGGTCACATGTGAACTCTAAGCTTAACATTTTGAGGAACTTTCAAACTGTTTTCCAAAGCAGTTGTGACACTTTACAATTCCACTGGTAATGTATGAAGGTTCCAATTTCTCCACATTTTTTTTTTTTTAAAGATTTTATTTATTTATTTGACAGAGAGACACAGCGAGAGAGGGAACACAAGCAGGGGGAGTGGGAGAGGGAGAAGCAGGCTTCCTGCTGAGCAGGGAGCCTGATGTGGGGCTCAATCCCAGGACCCTGGGATCATGACCTGAGCCGAAGGCAGACGCTTAACGACTGAGCCACCCAGGCGCCCCAATTTCTCCACATTTTTTTTTTTTAAAGATTTTATTTATTTATTTGAGAGAGAGAAAATGAGAGAGCACATGAGAGGGGGGAGGGTCAGAGGGAGAAGCAGACTCCCCGCCGAGCAGGGAGCCCGATGCGGGACTCGATCCCGGGACTCCAGGATCACGACCTGAGCCGAAGGCAGTCGCTTAACCAACTGAGCCACCCAGGCGCCCTCTCCACATTTTTAACAACACTTGTTATTTATCTTTTTTACTTTACCCATCCTAGTGGGTGGTATCAAGTGGTATCTCATTATGGTTTTGACTTGCATTTCCTCAATGACCAGTGATGTTGAACATCTTTTCATGTGCTTATTGGTCAGTTGTGTATCTTCTTTGGATAAATATCTATTCAGATACTTTTCCCATTTTTAAATTGGATTTTTTTATTGCTGAGTTGTAAGAATTCTTTACATATTTTGGATATTAGATCCTTAAGACATACATAATTTGCAAATATTTTTCTCTATGTGGGTTGTCTTTACTTTCTTGATGATGTCCTTTTTAGCATATAAGTTTTTACTTTTGATGATGTTCAATTTATCTATTTTTGTTATTGTTATTTGCTTTTGGTGTCATTTAAGAAACTATTGCATAATCCAAATCATGAACAGTTACACCTGTTTTCTTCTAAGCATTTTATAGTTTTACCTCTTATATTTACTAGGTCTTTGATCATTTTCAGTTATTTTGTGTTTCTAGTGTGAGGTAGAGGGTCCATATTTATTCCTTTGAATGTGCATATCCAGTTTTCCTAGCACTATTTTTTGAAAATATTATTCTTCTCCACTTAATTGTCTCGGCATATATTCAGGAGTTTATTTCTGGACTCTCAGTTTTATTCCATTGATCTCTATATCTAACCATATTCCTACTACACATTGTCTTGATTACTGTAGCTTTGTAGTAAATTTTGAAATTAGGAAGTATGTGTGCTCCAGGTTTTTTCTTCTTTTTCAAGATTGTTTGGCTATTATGGGTTCTTTGCATCTCTGTAGGAATTTTAAGATCATCTTATTAACTCAAAAAGTCAAGCCTGGATTTTGATAGGAATGGCATTGAGTTGTTAATCAGTTTGGGGAATATTGTCATTTTAAAAATATTAAGTCTATGAACTATGAATGTGGGATGTCTTCTCATTTATATAATTCTTTAATTTCTTTCAATAATGTTTTGTGATTTTTAGTTTTCAAGTCTTGTGGTTTTATTTTATTTTTTTAAATCACAGTTGTTTTTTTTAAGGTTTTATTTGTCAGAGAGACTGAGAGCACAAGCAAGGGGAGCAGCAGGCAGAGGGAGAAGCAGGCTCCTCACTGAGCAAGGATCCCAGTGTGGGACTTGATCCCAGGACCCTGGGATCATGACCTGAGCCGAAGGCAGGCGCTTAACTGACTGAGCCACCAGCCGTCCCCAGATCTTGTATTTTTTTAAAATGTGCTTTTTAAAATGCTATTCCAAATGGAATTTTTTATTTCATTTTTGCACTATTCATTGTTAGTTTAGAAATACAACTGATATTTGTATATTTATCTCATATTTTGCAAACACTGCTGAACTCATTTATTAGTTCTAATACTTATTTTTGTAGATACCTTAAGATTTTTCTCTCTCCAACATCTGCAGCTAGATAGTTTTGTTTTTTCCTTTCCGATCTCGTGCTTTTTTTTTTTTTTCTTGCCAATTGCCCCTAGCTAAGTGAATGTCAGGTAGACAAGGTGAGAAATCTACATCTTTGTCTCATTCCTGATTTTAGGGGTATAGAAGTCAGTCTTTCACCATTAAATATGATGTTAGCTACAGGATGTAGTTTTTTAAAAGGACTTTTAAAGCTCATTTATTCACCTTCTTTCTTTAAAGCTCTCTACCAGACATTTTGGTAGAACGTATTGGTTAATTAGACATAGGAAAAGGCAAATTCTCTGCAAGAGGAAGTACAGCCTCTTGTGAAACACTAAGAGCCCCTATCCAATCTGGGGAAGTCAGGAAATAATTTCTGAAGGAAGTAGCTGAAACCTTAATGATAAATGGAATTGACCACACAAAGGGGAAGAGAGTGTTCTAAGTGATAGAAATATCAAGGCAAGTGAAGGCCTGGACTGCCTAAAAAATGTAATTCTGTTTTCTAGAGGGTACACTTCAAGTAGATGGTGCTGTGATGATGGCACAGATGAGCAGGGCTAGATTATGAAGAGTCCACATGGGGCTGGTTTACACATTTAAATCTTGCTCTGAAAACAACCAAAAGTCATTGGGGGTTGGGGTAAGAAGCAAATTTTAAAAAAAGAAATGAAATTCATCAGATTTTGCACTGTAGAAAAATTATAGTTGCAGTCTGGGCTAGAGGCCAGAAAACTAGTTAGAGGACTGTTTGAGTAACTCAGGAAGAAATAATGGTGCATTGGATGAGGCAGTGATAGTAGAGATGAAGGTAAGTAGATTCTAAAGGGATTTAGGAGGTAGAATTGAGTGTTAAGAGGAAGGAGAGGCAAGGATGTTTCCTAGACTTTTATTTAGGACAAATGAGTGAATAATGTTCTTTACTGATTTGGGGAACACAGGCGAAATAGTTTGGGAAAGGGTAATGAGTTTTGTTTTGGAAATACTGAATTTGAGGTGCCTGAGTAGGTTTTCCATAGGTAGTTGTATTTCAAGTGCACAGTATGCGTTTAGAAATGGCACACACAACTCATCTTACTCTACTCTCCAAGAACACCTCAGATCCCCCTCTATCTTCCCTCTTTTCTTTCGACCCCTCAGTCCAAAACAGTAAGTTCACATGTCTTATTGATGCAGTACTAATGTGTGTTATAAGAATATTACCATTAGCTTCTCATCCTTCACTTATTTTTCACCTACATGTTGACTATAGCAGCACTTCTTTATACAGAGATAACATTGTATCATCATATTTGTTTGCATTTTAGTGTCTTAAAAACTTTTCTACATGATCCTCTTGTGGAATGGAGTAAACCAGTGAAAGGGCATTCCAAAGCACCACTGAATGAAACCGGGGAGGTTGTCAATGAAAAGGTTAGTAGAAGGTGTAGCGTGATATGAGCTGACATAATACGTCTCTGTCAATGAGAATTGATTCTAAATACTGTCATTGAATTGACTGGCCATTGAACTCTGAAATCTAGTTCTTTATTTTTTTATTTTTGTTTTTTTGAGAGAGGGAGGGAGGGGAAGGGACAGAGGGAGAGAGAGATAGAGAATCTTAAACAAGCTCCACGCCCAGCACTGAACCTGATGTGCGGCTCAGATCTCACAACCCTGAGATCATGACCTGAGCCAACATCAGTAGTCGGACGCTTAACCAGTGGAGCCACCCAGGTGCCCCTGAAATGTAGTTCTTTAGTATGAAAGTGCCAATAAGTTTTCTTTAGTCATTACTAATGTTAACATTATTATCATTTGTGTAATGAAGTTCAAGACACTTAATTATAGACAGTTTGCAGTTATGAGATATAGTGGGAAAAACTTGGAACACAGATTGCCTGAACTTAGAAAGCAGCAGCAGGTCTCAACTTTAATATATAGCAATTCACTCCTTACTAACATTAGTTGAAGTTTCAAAGTTTGCAGATAATCATTTTTATTAAGTGAGAATAGATTGAGGATTGTTATTCTAATACAACATTCTCACTTTTGCATTTTTATAAGCTTTCCTATTGAGAGAGATGTGTACCTTTCATTCCAAGTAGCTTAGAACTCCATTTGCACATAGTAGCATAATCTAAATATTAGGCATTTAGAGTATTGTTGCTATGATTAGAATATTCATTCAAATGTTTAAGTCGTAACATTTCGGGGTAAATTTTTTAAATTATTATTTTTCTAGAATTGTAATGTGGAAGAGAGTCCCTAGTATTTCACATAGTCCAGAAAAATGTCCATGCAGTTGATGCTAAATCAATATTGCAAGCCTCAAAATCAGTATCTCAAGTTACTGCATTTGTTTCATTTCTTCTCTCTTTTGCCCTGTTTTTGCTCCTAAAAAGGGGATAATGATTTGTAAAATGACATAAATATTTGTCAAACACCAGAAAAGTAGTAATTTCAAATTATCAATATCCAGGTGTTATTAGGTTCTTAGCACTTATGATTTTCAATTTCTTCTTATTAGGCCAAGACCCATGTTCTTGACATCGAGCAGCGACTGCAAGGTGTAATCAAGACCCGAAATAGAGTGACAGGGCTGCCACTATCTATTGAAGGACATGTGCATTACCTTATACAAGAAGCTACTGATGAAAACTTACTGTGCCAAATGTACCTTGGTTGGACCCCATATATGTGAAATGAAATTACTTCAAAGAATATGCTAATAATCTAAAATTAATGCATTTGGTATTAACTGTGATTGTATATTCAGTTCCAAAGTACAGCATAAGTTTATGTTCTCGGAGTAACTGGTATTAACTCCCTTATTGTTAATAATATTTAAAATAATATATGTTGTTGATAAGAAATAAACTGCTTTCTTTTTTTTTTTAAGATTATTTATTTGAGAGAGAGCACAAGTGGGGAGGGGGCAGAGGAAGAGGGAGAAGCAGACTCCCCACAGAGCAGGGAGCTTAACTTGGGGCTCCATCCGGGGACTCTAGGATCATGACCTGAGCCAAAGGTAGATGCTTCACTGACTGAGCCACCCAGGTGCCCCTAAACGGCTTTCTCAATATATATTGTTCATTATAACTGGAGAAATGGAACATCTTATGTTTTTATGCTCTAAAAGATGTATTTGCAAGAAACAAGCCAGCCTAATTTCATTTTATAACTTTTATTGATTTTCTTTTAAGTACTAGCTAGCAAAAGGATTCATTTGAACAACAAAAAATTACACTGAATAAATGCTGTAGGCAAAGCACGATGCTAGATTCCTGAACAGAGCTACCTGCCCTGCCCTCTAGGAACTGACTGTCTAGTCTAATAAAACAGATATAAACATAAAACACACATCAAGTTCACTTAATAAAACTCTTTTTTATATGGCTGAAAATGTAATAGGAAAAAAACATAAACCAAAGAGCATGAATCTGAAAACTCAATAATGTAATTTTAAAGATTCTGTCATACTGAGAGTTTACCAGAATACAGAATCTAGTGGTCTTAGAAGACACTTAAAATTTCATAAGATTTTAAAATTAAAGATATTTTAATGTTCATTTTTTGTAAGTTTTCTTGCTGATGATTTAAAATAATTCACAATATTTACAAAATTATGAGATTATTACATTCAAATAAATGGAAAAATTTTTTATAACAGAATTTTACTTAAATTCGCTTGACAGAATTATGCTTTTCTGCACTGTTTAGAGTGTGATGGGGAAAACATGAAAACCAAGAGACATGAATGTGAAAAGTATACCATTTCCTCGGGGAGCCTAATGTTGATTTAAGGAGGAAGCTGGGTGGGGGTGGAGGGGAATTAGGACATTTTTTCCAACAAATAATTTGGGGAAAAAAGTTTTTAAAAGAAGTTTGATACAGGGTTATATTCCTCAGAAAAAAACCTCCCCCTCCCCAAACAAAATAAACTAAACCAAGTAAGTCACCAGATCTTTCCAAATCTGTGTTGACAAATACTGAGATTAGTAATTCCAGGATACAGAAGCAGGACAAATACCAGTGTTCCAAACCTTCCAGCAGGCTCGTGAGGTTTTCACACCACTCCCACGTCTACTTACAAAGCACAGCTCTGTCAACAAACATTCCAGAACTAAATTTAACGCACCAACACGCCGCCCGGCTCTTAAACGTTACCACCGGAGAGCTCGGCGGCGGCGAGTTAGAGCCGGGATTAGAGCCCCGCCCCGGGGATGCGGCCTCGAATCGGCCGCTCTAGGCCCGGCGAGTGCTCTCTATGGTCGGGCGGGAGGTGTGTTGTCATCCGCGGAGCGACGGCCGGAGGCAGCGGCTTAGGCCCCCGCGGGGCGTTTGGTTTCGGTTTGGCCTTGACTGGAATTAGCGTTGACGGTCGAAATGGGAGTCCCCAAGTTTTACCGATGGATCTCGGAGCGGTATCCCTGCCTCAGTGAAGTGGTGAAAGAGCATCAGGTGGGTGAGCGAGGGGGCAGCGGCTTAGCAGGCCGAGAACCCGGGGCTCCGCGGCCCTCCCTCCCTCCTGGAACAGGGCCCCCCAGCCTCCTCTTTCTGCTCGTCGTCTGCCAAATGAACGGTGAAGGGAGGGGAGGAGAAGGTTTGAGGATATCCCGATGATCTGAATGGGGGCGAAGATGTAGGTTTCGTTTCTGTGGGCAGAGCCGCGGGAATCGGGGCCGTTCTGACAGCTCTGCCGTGGGGCAGGGCCCTCCGCGATTCCGAAATTAAGTCCTGGGGAGGAACGTTTTAGTGAGTTCTTTCCTTTCCTGCCCAGGGAGCTTATAGAGGCAGCAAAGCCGGAGCGGGTGTTCTGAGTCCCCCCCCCCCATCCCCCTCTGAAAGCAACAGACCCACGTACGAACAATAATAAGTGCCTCCGCAGTTGAGTCACCTTGTTTACTTTCCCTTATCAGGACCTGCATCCCACCCCACCCCCAACGCCTAGACTTTTTGACATAGCTGATGATTCATATTTATGATACCTTTTGTTACTCTTTTTCGATTATCTCAAAGATCGTAAAAGAAACAAAAATACACTTGGACGGGCAGGGGCAGTTATTTGGAGACTTCAGTGTGCGAGTGTCCGTGTGTGACAGAGAGAGAGGAGAGAAAGAAATGGATTGTTAGAACACTAATACTAGTAGTCATAATATCTGGTTTGTAATCCGGTATGTAATAATATCCCAGTGCAAGGTTTTTGTGCGGATTCCAAAAATGTTTATATATTGGAATTGTGGAAAGAAATAGTAAGCATTTATCTATTAGGTAAACTAGACTTAGGGTGATACATTAGTGTTTGTCACATTTAATGATTTTGGTAGATCTTTTGTCCGTTTTATATTTTACAGGAAAATCAGTTTTGATATTTGTATAGCTAATGAATCAGTTTTGATGGGTAACATTTTATTAGTAGTAGTGAGGGGAAATAATCCAGCCAGCACCATCATGCTGTTTATTAAATTATGGTTTAATCTTAAAAAGTACTATAAGCATGAAGATAGGGTTAAACTTCCAGAAGGGATACTTTGTTGTTGGATCCCAGTCAGATTTGGTAAATGAAGAAGAGCTTACAAAAAATTCCAAAACAGTAGTTTATTTTTCATTTATTTGAAACATGGGTTGAGTCGATTTAGGAAATAGTTCTTTCCAGAGAAGACGGTAAAAAAAGATTACTAGTACATTTCAGAAATGGAGACAACCGACTTTGGCTTTTCCTGGGTCATTCATTCAACAAAAGTCTGAGTGCCTGCCATGTATTAGTCACTATAATGTGATTGTTATTCGAATTGACTTGATAACATATAATTTATTTATTAATATTTTATTCTGTACTCTTTGGTGCAGAATTTGGTTTGGTGAAACTGTCTTGGCTTCTCACCATCCTGAGAAATTTTTTTTACTGAAGAGCAAAAACAATCTCTTTAAGGCAGTCTTATGATAGGTTTAAAAGGATAGGTTTAAAACTTGGCTTATCAAAATGGTGTCTTTCAAAAATGTTTGATTCTTGTAGTTAACAACGACCACAACAACAAAGAGAGCAAATGTTATAAAGGGGTACCAGCTGCTCTCTTAAGCAGTATTTAAAAGACGATAAGCCTAAGTAAGTCACAATGATTCAAAAGCTAGTCCTGGGAGGAAGAGATTGGGAGGAGGAGTAAGTTGTGGGAAGATGGTGGTGGTAAAGACAACAGCATCATTTTTGGTCTCTTTGAATCCTCACATAAAAACAGAACAACTAGGAACGCCTGGGTGGCTCAGTCAGTTAAGTGTCTGCCTTTGGCTCAAGTCATGATCCCAGGGTCCTGGGATCAAGTCCCACATTGGGCTCCTTGCTCAGTGAGGAGCCTGTTTCTCCCTCTGCCTGCCACTCCCCCTGCTTGTGCTCTCTCTCTGACAAATAAATAAATAAACTCTTAAAAAAAAAAAAAAGGAACAACTAGATAGCAAAGTTTGAAATCCATAGAACATTTATGACAAAACCATGTAATATTGTATCCCTACGAACCCCCAAAAACAAGTAGGTGGGGACAAACTACCAATAGCCTTTAGACCCAGTTGGTGTTGGCATCCCTGCAAGAGGAAAAAGGAAGCAATGGGGCAATATCTGATGGACCTGAGAACAGAAGAACTAAAGAATATTCGCTAAAAGACTATGTAGGCCAATTATATAGCAGTATTTGTAACTAAGGGGTTTTAAAGGGCAGGAGTAGTTGGCCTCCTATGAACTCTCATAACTGATTTGCCAAGGCATCATTCTGAGGCAGATATAGAAAAGGATAAAACAAATGTGCTCCCTATATAAGAGCACACACTTTAAAATGGAAATGTTAGCTTGTGTTTCTTTCTGTACAATTTGTAGCAAAATGCATAGAAGATTGGCTTTAAAAGTGCAGGCATCAGGGGCGCCTGGGTGGCTCAGTTGGTTAAACGGCTGCCTTCGGCTCAGGTCATGATCCCCAGGGTCCTGGGATCAAGCCCTGCATCGGGGCTCCTTGCTCCATGGGGAGCCTGCTTCTCCCTCTCCCTCTGCCTGCCTGCTGCTCCTTGTGCTTGTGCTCTCTGTCTCTCTCTCTCTCTGTGTCAAATAAATAATCTTTTAAAAAAAAGTGCAGGCACTGGAATAAGCATGTGAATGCACTTAACACTACTGAACTGTACACTTAAAAGTGGTTAAGATGGCAAATTTTTTATGTATATTTTACCACGGTTTAAAAAAATGCAGGCACAAGAGTATGAATTATGAACAGGAACATCGCTCCCAAGGGGGCCAAAATTGTTGAGAGGGTGGAGGTTTACATATTAAAGTGCCACAGTGTATAAACAGATATACAGTATAACTATGGTATTAAAATTCCATTGGAGGGTGGTGATTAGGGAAAAAACAAGTCTAAAGAGCTACCTGGAAGAGGGACAATAGTGTAAGAAAGATTAAGAAATACTGCTCTAGAGCAATTCTCCTTGGTTCAAATTTAGCCCCAACACTTACTTTACTAGCTATGGGTGAGTAACTCAAATCTTTTTGACTCAGTTTTGTCAGTACAAAATGGAGATAATAATGTTAGGATTGCTATGATTAAGTAAGTGAATGCACATACAGTTGACTCTTGAAAATGTGAGGATTAGGAACACTGACCCCCCCCCAAGCCCCCACGCAGTCAAAAATCTAAGTATAACTTTGACTCGCCCAAAACTTAACTACTAATAGCCTAGTGTTGACTGGAAGCCTCACTGATAACATAAACAGTTAATTAACACATATTTTATATCTTATATATATCGTGTATTCTTACAGTAGAGTAAGCTAGAGAAAAGAACATGTTAATAAAATCATAGGAAAATAGAAAATATATTTATAGTACTGTACTGTATTTATTGGAAAAAAATCCACATATAAGTGGACCCATGCAGTTCAAACCTGTGTTGTTCAAGGGTCAACTGTAAAGCATTTAAATCTGTCTAGTACATGGCAAGTGCTTAACAGATCTTACCTGTAATTATTGCTCACCAGCAAGGAGGGGAAGAGGAAGAGAGAGAATCCTAAGCAGGTTCCATGCCCAGGGTGGAGCAGGGCTCGATCTCACAACGTTGAGATCATGACCTGAGCTGAAATCAAGACTTGGATGCTAAACTGACTGAGCCACCCAGGTGCCCCATATTTTAGCTATTATAGTAGCACTGTACCAGATTGTAATCACAAAGAGAACTACATAGGTTCTAGGAGTTTATAATCTTAGTTGTATGACCTTTTTTTTTGTAAAGGTTAAGTTTTCATCAGATATATATGTTGCCTCTACTTTTGTGGTACATAATAGATCTTCAGTAAATATTTATTGAGTGAATGAATATTAATCATATCATACTATATAACATAAAGAATACATAGTATGTTTTAAAACATGCATATTAAAGGGGCGCCTGGGTGGCTCAGTCAGTTAAGCATCCGACTCTTGATTTTGACTCAGGTATGATCTCAAGGTTGTGAGATTGAGCTTTATGCTGGGCGTGAAACCTGTTTAGGATTTTCTCTCTCCCTCCACCCCTCCCCCCCCAAAAATATGCATATTAAAAAATGAACTGAAGCAACAAAATCTTGGGAGTGTTTAAGGTAAATAGGATTAAAGAACTGGGACAAAAGAATTGCCAATAGCTCTCATAAACAGTCAAATATACATTGTCTTAATGAAAAATGCATTTTGCAGCTGCACTAAGTAGGATACAAAGTATACTAGCAAAAAGAAACTCAACTAATTTGAGAAAATTAGATACTAAAGTTAATACTTAACCACAATTTAAAGCAGTATAAATGCATATTCAAAGTAAGTGTTATAACTTACATGTGCTATCACATTTAATAAAGGGAGAGCTCCGCTATTTATTATTAAATATTTTTATTTGCTACTTTGTGTCAGGTAGTATGCCAAGAGTTCTAAACATGACCAAATACTTAAGTGTATTGTCTGTCCTTTTGTGCTAAACTGTGAGTTCCTCAAATCAGAGACCTTGATTTGAGGAACTCACAGTTTAGGAAAGGACAAACGTTACACTTCAGCATTCAACAAAAATGTACAGAGCATGTAATATATGTGCCTGGTATTCTTGTGTGCATTGGTAACACAAAAACAAATAAGATATGACATAGAGAAAGGAACATCATTTCCCCTTGGGTAAGTACAAGAAAACTTCCAAAGATACCTGAGCTGGATCTTGAAAGCTGAGTCAAAATCTGCAAGATCAGTGGAAGAAAGACCATAAGGGAAAGAAAAGTATTTCAGGAAGTAGTAGCAGCATCTATTAAGTCACAGAGGTTTGGAAAAGCCCAGTGCATTTATGGCTTTCTAAATAACGTACTGTATGTAGTTAACTTGTAGACTATATGTACAAACAGGAAAGAATATGGAATTGGTGGGAGAGATAACAGCCAAATCATACAGATTCTTTTATGGTATTAAAGGTTTATAGTATCGTATGGGTTTAAGTATGGAAGCAACATGATCAGATTATATATTAGAAAAATGGCTAACTACACTGTGGTGGGAGAGAAAAAAAGTAAGTAGTCTAGTTGGAAAACTCAGGGCTTGAACTAAGGCAGGAAATCTGGGGTTGGAGAAAATGGTGAGATTGCCTAACACAATGGGAATGGTTAGGAGGGTAGGATTCTAGAGACATTTTGGAAGTTAAATTTTAAAAAACAAAACAAAACCTAAGTGACTAATTAGATACAGGGGTTGAGGAGAGGTGAAAGTGTAAAATAACGTCAAAACTTCTGTTTTACAGATGTAATAATTCAGTATTGTCTTTGGGTTTTTTCCCCATTTTTATTTAAATTCCAGTTAGTTAAGAGTGTAATAGTAGTTTCAGGGGTAGAATTCAGTGATTTGTCACTTACATACCACACCCGGTGCTCATCATAACACGTACCCTCCTTAATCCCCTTCCCCTATTTAACCCATGCTCCACCCACCTCCCCTCCAGCAGTCTTCAATTCTCTATAGTTAAGAGTCTGTTTCTCAGTTTGCCTCTCTCTGTCTTTTTTTTTTTTCCCCATTATTATGTGTTTGTGAAGGAGCAAGATTCTATTGCATGTTCTCATTTTCTTCACTGCATTAGTCAATGGTTACTCAGTCATTCTGTATTTTTCTTGCTAATCTGAAACCTAAGAGAATTTTTTAAATTTCTTTTCTAAAAAGATAATTATAGGTTTTTTTCGGATTATGAAGGTATGTGCTCATTATGTAAAAATTAATATAATACAAAGAGATGTATAAGCTGTTATATCTTCCAAAGGAAAATAAACAACTGAAATTCCATCATCAAGGGTTAACTACCAGTACCATCTTGTTTCTATATACTCTTAACCTTTATATGCAGATACACATGTAGGTAAGTATTTTCTATAAATGGGATAATAATATGCCTGCTGTTTTATAGCCTACTTTTGTCATTTGACCATTTGTATTACACACATTATCTAATGTCAAATATTAATGTATATCATAATTTATAATTACTGTGTAGTATTCCATTGTGTGGATGTACCATCATCAGTTTTCTGTTATTAGGCATTTTGATTTCATTTTTTATTTCTAAATAGTACTCCCATTAATATTCTTGTGCTTACGTCTTTGTGCACATTTCTGATTATTTCTCAGAATAAATTACCAATAGTAGAAATCCTGGGGGTGCCTGGGTGGCTCAGTCGGTTAAGTGTCTGCCTTTGGCTCTGGTCACCATCTCAGGTCCTGGGATTGAGCCCCGCGTTGGGCTTCCTGCTCAGTGGGGAGTCTGCCTCTCCCTTCCCCCTTGCCTCCGTTCCCCTGTTGGTTCTCTCTCTCTTTCTCTCTCAAATAAATAAATCTTAAAAAAAAAAAAAAAAAGAAAAGAAAGAAAGAAATCCTGGGTCAGAGATATATATGCTTCAGATTTTGATATATACTTTCATATTATTACACCAATTTATGTTCCCATCCAGACTACTGGGTATAAATGCCATCTCTCTCTCTCTTTTCTATATCTGGGATTTTCCTCTTCTGTAAAATGGAGAATCTAAATATTTTTCTTTTAAAGTTACCATAATTTAGTGAGACAATGAATATGTTTGGCCCAATGTTTGGCACCTAATGAGTACCTAATAAATGCCAGCTATTACTTTTAATAAGATATGAAATATCTGTTTCCCCAAAACCTTGCCAATAACTGGGTAATATCATTTTTTTCTAATCTTTGCTAACATGATGGGAAAAAATGATACATTTTAATTTGAAATTTGGGGATGTTGAACATCTTTTCATATATTTATCAAACTCTTGTGTCTCTTTTTTGAATTGCTGTGCATTTTTCATGCTTTTAAAATTTGCTCTTTTATTAGAGGATTTTTTGGTATATTGGGAATGTTGATTTTATCGTAATTTGCAAGCATTTCCCTGCATTTTGTCATTTTCAGTTTAAACTTGTTTTTGACTTTTTTTTAACCCTATAGATGTAAAAAATACAGATTGCCAACTCCATCGTTTGTTTGGTTTATGATTTTTGGCTTTCCCCACCCTAAAATTACCAAAATATTTGTATATAATTTTTTTACTTCTATTTCTCACATTAAAAATTTTTACTTTCTGGAATTTGTTTTATAAGATGAGATACAGTTGTGTTTTATTTCCAGATAGTTAGCTAGGTACCCCATCCCTTTCACCGGTTTGAAATGCCTCTTATATACTAAATTTCTATATACACTTAAACTACTTTTTTTTAAAGATTTTATTTTATTTTATTTTTTTAAAGATTTTATTTATTTATTTGAGAGAGAGAAAATGAGAGAGCACATGAGAGGGGGGAGGGTCAGAGGGAGAAGCAGACTCCCCGCCG